CCTTTTCTCCCTCATCCCCCACCCTTTTTTCAAGCGTACGCATTATCGTAAATCGTTTTGTGGTGCCCAAATATAACTGTACTATACGGATATAGATATGAATAGGGTTTCCCGGATTTGTGGCCGTTTGATTCTCGTCCTTGGGATGTAAGTCATACAAACTACCACCCTGCTAAGGAAAACTTACACACACAAACACACACACACACACGTACGCAGACACGCCTGCTCGCACCCACCCACCCACGCACACAAACATACAAACGCACGCATGTACGCACGCACCCACCCACGCCAACAAACACACATACACACACCACTTACTCAGGCAAGAACACACAGTGCCATCCCACATTGAAAGTCAATATTAGTGAGCCTAGGCTAGGTTAGTTGTGTATCCCTTACAGGACGTTGCAGAACCAACCCCAACAGCCCCTGGCTTTTGTGTGGTTTTTCTAGGCAAATTCACGCCCAGTAGTTTGCCATTGCATCTGGCTGGTCGGTTTTCTTGATACCACTGTCGAATCCAACACAAGGCGCATGGCCCGCAGCTGGGATTGAACCCGGCATCCCGGCATTACGAAGCTTTCGCATCGACTTAGCGACAAAGCCGACAGTAGTGAGCCTACATCGACTTTATTGGTTAGTACTCAGAGGAGCGTCTGGCTGAGCGGTGACAACGGCGGGCTGTCATACGGGAGACCTGGGTTCGATCCCTGGTTAGTGATGTGAGTTTTTCTGTCGGGGCAAAATGAAACATCCTAACCTGCTCAGTCCGTGGCGACTGCACTGGTCGTGCGGCTCTAAATCTTCAGGCTCATGACCCCTTGTATACACCTGCAAGAAAAGGGGTACGTACAAACAGTAGTGACAGTTTTTTTAAGAGAGGTAAGCACTGATAGATTGAAGTAGAGATAGGAGAGCTTACTCCTTTCTTTTTCTTTCTACTTCATCATTGTGAAGTATAGAATGTCAGCCAAATCGCCATAAGTTGTCACATCCTTGATTATGTAGCTCACCGTATGCACTCCAGATCTTTGTTAACTTATTTTTAGATCAGTGGTTCTTGAACTTCCTGATGTCGCGACCTCTCATACACTTCCTCATGTTGTGATGATCCCCAGCTAAAAAAGTATGTCGTAAGAGTCGACTAATTGGGAGCTTCCTTCGAAGTCGGAGTGCATCTGCCTGAGAGGCAAGGTACCAACAGTCTGCATACAAACGAGTCAGATCTGTAAAACGGATACACATGCAACCCTCAGGTTCTGGAACAGGACTGCAATTCAGAAGTGGACGAATAACCATAACGTTCTGCCAGAATTTACAGCTGGTGAACGCGAAGAAAAAGAGGAATCTTCTTTTGCTTTTGTCGCATGCTTTTATTTCCCCCATCTTTCAGACTTAACTTTCTTGGTCCTTTCCTCGTATGTTGTACTTCTATGCCTCCGCGAGTTTCAGTCCATAGACATTCTAGTAATACTGTTCTCGGGGTTTCCTATCCAACGTCAGCGTCTTTTCCTCAACTCTTCATTCGCTTGAATTTATTAGTTCTTTCCCAAAACCTTGCTGAGTGATTCAGTCATACCATTTAACTAAATCCATTGTGTTCAGGCACCAGTTAATGGATGTTTGTAGTTTGTTAATAGTTGTTTTAGTTGTTCTTCGTGTTTCACTCCATAAGCAATATTGATTAACCCTAGCTCGGTCACCGATCAGACTAGGTGTATAACGCTATATCTTGGAGTGAGCTATTGCCATGAGAAGTTTGATGACTATCTGCCTGATTTATTCTCATTACCTCTGTCTTTACCTTATTTATGTTTGCACCAGAGTGTTACGGACAAGAACAGTTCTATGGAAAATAAGCGTATAAAGAAACGACAGTTTTGGGAGCCATAGATAATGTCTGTACTTAACATGTTTAGTGTAAGTTGATGAGAGGTAATGTCCATATTTCATAGACGTACAAGTGTAAGTTGATGAGAGGAAATGTCCATGTTTCATAGACGTACATGTGTATGTTGATGAGAGGTAATGTCCATGTTTCATAGACGTACAAGTGTAAGTTGATGAGAGGTAATGTCCATGTTTAACGCACAAACAAGTGTTAGTTTATGATAGGTAATGTCCATGTTTCAGGCACAAACAAGTGAAAGTTGATGAGAGGTAATGTCCATGTTTTATTTACATGAATAAGTTGACGAGATCTACTATCCATCTTTCATATAATACTAATGTAAATTGATGATAGGCAATGTCCATGTTTCACACATATAAAAATGTAAATTGATGAGAGGTAATGTCCATGTTTCACACACATAAATATGTAAATTGATGAGAGGTAATGTCCTTGTTTTACACACAGACAAATGTAAATTGATGAGAGGTAATGTCCATGTTTCACACACAAACAAATCTAAGTAGATGAGAGACAATGTCCATGTTTCATTTGCATACAAGTATAAGTTGATGAGAGGTAATGTCCGTGTTTTACACACAAACAAATGTAGGTTGGTGAGAGGTAATGTCCACGTTTCATATACAAACAAGTGTAGGTTTATGAGAGGAAATTTCCATGTTTCTTATACAATAAAATGTAAGTTAATGAGCGGTAATGTCCTTGCTTTCTATACATACAAGGCAACGCTGATGGTCATTTCCCAAAATATAATCGTGAAGTTCTGCAGACAATATTTTCCTCTGATAATTGATCTCTTCGTCTGAGAAATTACGTCAGTTTGTTTTGTGATTGCCCTTTCGTTTCCTATTGTTACTTCATAGTTTGTTATAGATTACATATAGGCTCTTGTATGATGTCTCTTTGCTCAGTTCTTGTTCATTTGTTTGTTGGGCGTTTATTGATTCCCCATTAGGAATCTGGGTTTTAGTTCGCTCAATGTTTATTAACTCTTTCTTGACCTGGAAGATTCTACTTTACCTGTATTATATTGTCATGGGGCGGAATACAGTGTTCATCGATCTCCGTTCTTTCAAATCTGACGAAGCAATGTTCGAGCTGCAGACAACATGACTGCATTTATAGTTTCTTCCTCTTTGTTTTTTTTGTGTTTTTTTTTTGTTCTTCTTGTCTTTTTCATCTTTTTGTTCTTGTTCTTATATTTCTTTTTCTTCCCCTGCTCCTCCCTTTCCTCTTTCTCTTCCTCCTACCTTAACTCCTTGAGTCCCAAGGAACGTATTATACGTTTATAGGTTACTGCCTAGAAGCCCAATGAAAGCATTATGCGCCGATTTCACGTCTGTCTTGACTACTCCTTGGGACTGTGATGCCAAACTCTCTGGGTCTCAAAGAGTTAATCATATTCGTTTGCGTGTGTGTCTGCCTGTGTGTATGCCTGTGTGTATGTGGATGTCTGTATGTATGTGTATCTGTGGGTGTGTCTCTGTGTGCATGTGTGTGTCTGTATGTACGTTTGTATGTGTGTGTTTATGTATGTATATTTGTATGCGGATGTGTGTCGGTGTTTATGTATACATGTGCATGCATCTTAAACCATTCCCCCATGCTTTTGTGTTTTTCCTTGATTTTATAATATGCATATTATTATACGAACATAACATGTTTTATTGATAAAATACAACCGATGTGAGAAAGATGGGTGCTTGGAAGGTCAGAAAGTAAGATTGGCCTGCGTGCCAAATTTGTGACCCTTTGAAACGTGCCAAATTTGTGACCCTTTGAAACGTGCCCAATTTGTGACCCTTTGAAACGTGCCAAATTTGTGACCCTTTGAAACGTGCCCGATTTGTGACCCTTTGAAACGTGCCCAGTTTGTGACCCTTTAAAAATAAAGTTCGTTCGTTTGTTCGTCTTCCACTTCGTTTTCCTTATCCTCCTTGTCTCCCTCTTCCTCTTTATCCATCTCCTTAACCTTCCTCGAAAGAAGCACCGGCTATCAACCAACTTTTTGCCAGCCCGACCTATTCTTTTTGCGCTCACGTTTAGCCCACCCTATGTTCTCTCCGTGTTTCTTTTTTTTTTTTAAACATCAAAATCTATTATCTTCTTCGGTGTGTTTCTTATTAGTCTGCCTCTATTTCTTTGACCGGGTTTGTTCTAGTGCATGAACGGTTTAGTTATATTGTTAGCATGTTTTCTCAATGCATGTCGTTTTCAATGCCAGCGTCTTTTCCTCAACTCTTGTCACCCAGAGTTTGGTTGACGCATATATCACGTATTCTGTTCTATGATATGCTATCTACTAAACATTTCATATCTTCCTTCTGAAATCCCAACAACGCGTGTGTCTCTCTGTGGGTGGACCTGACCGTTAAGAGATGCCTGTGGTGGTGTCTTCTTGTCAACTGACTGACTGTTCCCACCCTCATGTCTGGCAAAGGGTAGACAGTAGTACAAGTGGAATAACAGTACCAACAAATAGACAAATAGCAGTCTGATAAAGTGTACAACCAAAGCGAGACTCACACAGACTGTTCAATATCTGTTGTAGCCGAAATTCATTGTATAATTGGCCTATACTGTTTGAGCAGTGTGAACGCGCTTGATAAAACCGGGGTGCCGGGTTCGATCACAGCTGCAGGTGATCTGACAGCAACACGTCTTGCGATAGTTTCGACAGTGGTACCGAAAGCTGACCGTTTAAAGCGCAAGGGCAAACTACTGAATTTAAAATGTACCTGGAATAACCCCAATAGCCCGCCCCCCCCCCCAAAAAAAAAAGGCTATGGTAGGTACATGCAACTAAACAAATATACATAATATTTATATACACACATATATCGATTTCCGTCAGTTCTTTCAAATCCGACGAAACAATTTTCGAGCTGCATACAACATAACTGTATTTATAGTTTTTTTCTCTACGTTTTCTTGTTCTTTTTGTTCTTTTCCTCTTTTTGTTCTTGTTCTTGTTCTTCTTCTTCTCCTCCTCCTCCTTCTTTTTCTCATCCTTCTCCTATTCTTTTTATATTTGTCTTCCTCTTCGTTTCTTATATATATATCTATCTATCTTTGTTTACAGAAGAGAAGAGAGAGTCGCCAGATCATTCCCCACAAAGAGCGTATTCGCGAGTGTCCGCTCCCAGCCGCCTCCTGTATGGCAACCACAGACAACCATCCCCAGACAGAATCTCCAGCCGGCTACGTCACAGGCGGAGGCGGATTGTGGGGTCAGAGGACGATGGATGCAGGTCACCCTCAGAGATGACAAACAGCAGGTATTTGGCTTTGTCTATTGACTGAATGAGGAATATTTCCAATGACTGAATGAAGGACATTTTGTTGACTGAAAGAGTGATGTGTGGAATTGCATGTTCTAAACATACTGTATACAAACAATACTAAAGATTGTAGTCCCCCCACCCCCTTTTTTTCCCCCCCAAACAACAAAATCGCTTGACAAGTTTTATAGATTTTAATATATCCTTTTTTTTTTTATCTAAATCAACTTCATTTCTTATGTTTGTTTTTTCAACCTGTCTTGTAGACAGCCAATTTTCACATTTGTCTTCTTGTGAATTTTTGCTTGAACCGCCGTGGTGTAGTGGCTAGACTCACGCCTGCGGATCGGAAGGCCGTGGGTTCCGGTTCTGACGAAGCCCTACTTTTAAGAAAATCATCTTGGCTTCCAGTTCGAACCCAACCCAACCATCACTGGGTACCAGGTAAAGTCTTGGGAAGTAAAGGCGGAGGGTTTGATGTTGCCCCACATACACCCGCCAAGTGCCGAGTGGTCTATAAAATATAGGTATGGTCCTATATTATCAGTACGTATGGAGATGTAGAAACAGGACTTTAGTAGTAGTATATTTTACCGCACCAGGACATCACACAAGCGATAAACACCCGATGACACAAAGTGCCACCATGCGGATGAGGATCATCCGCGGAGAGGACCCGGAAACCACGTTCAGCCATTAGACCCTATTTATGGCCGGGCAATATTGCGGCCCCTGGCAAAGAGCCAGGGTGGGGCTTCAAATACCGAAAACTTGCATCCCACAAGGGGATGACGATTATTAACGGGATTTTGCTTTTTTTTTTCTCCACTTTTATATCCCCCCGTTTTGTCCTTACCGTTTCATGCAGATATACTCACTACTGAATCTCCCTGACACTTTCCTGTTTGTGAAGACCTAATTAATCATTGTGCCCAGAACCGGTCATATTTTTAACAAACTGTATTCTCTTTCATACGACCAGGTGTGGGACCTCGCTATCCTCTCTGAGTGTCCCCTCCCTGCCCGCTCTAGGAGGCACACGAGCAAACAACCCCAGTGCTAGGACAACGAGAAGTCTACCCGTGACGCCCACAGTTCCCTCGGAAGAAGATCAGGAGAGGAAACACAAGCAGATGCATGAGGTGGCGTATAATTGGTTGAATCTAATCCTTAAATGAGTCTTTTGTTCCTTCCTTCTTCTGTTCATACTTTTAAAATTCCATCTTTATACATCAACAGACCCAACAGAAAACAGTCCTTATCATCATCATCATCATCACCATAAACCACTTCTGCTGTTAAGCGTCGTGGGGAGGAATAATTTGCGATCCAATGCACGTTGGCTGCCACTGGCTATTGTCATGCTGCGAAGGCGTAGAGTGTGTTTAATGTTGTCGATCCATGTTTTCCTCGGCCATCCTTTTGCTCTTGTAGCTGATCTTCTGAGATGTAGTGCTTGTGATGGTATTTGATCTTGCTGCATTCTAACGAGATGGCCAAACCACTTGATCTGCTGTTTCTCGATGAATCTAGTACAAGGTGTCGTTACCACAATTTGCCAGATAGTTTCATTATTCACTCGATCTCGTATGGTTATGTTGGCTGCTTTTCTCAGGCACCTCATCTCGCAGGTGGTGATTTTGCGCATATGGGCTTTAGATAGTGTCCATGTTTTGCACTGGTAGCTTAATGTTAGAATGATTACGCTATTAATATTCTGTCTCTTTGCACTCATAGTTATGCTTGGATGTCTTAATGATAAAACAGTATACAACAAATTTCCGTTTAAGAACAGGACACTGCAGGCTCAACTACCACATGTATAAAATAAAGATTGTACAGTTCCCACAGTGTGCCTGTCGAACAGGACCACAAACACCTGAGCACATTCTGCAGACCTGCCTACTCTACCTACAACTTCGATAAGAAATCTGGCCTCAAGAGCAAAGTGTGCAGAGCAAGCTATGGGGAACCACGAAAGACCTGCAATTGGCATTTTAATTCATAGAGGCAACCCATCCGACCATCTGACCTGAGAATATAAAACCGAACGCAGAGAAGGAAAACAAAAAGAAGAAGATGAAACATCAATTTGTCTTTAATCATTCATGGCAAATGTACATCGAAGGTTTTTTGAAAAGAAAGAAAATATAAATCGCACGTGTCTAATATGGTTAATGCCGCAATCATTGCCCGCGCAGTATAGAGATACAGTGGAGTATGGATAAGTAGAAGTTGCAGGGACCTAAGAAAATGCTTCCATTTATCAGTATTTCTACTTATCCAGACAGTACACACAATAGAGAAAATTGCCGCCACTAAGCTGGTCATGTCGACTTAAACGAAATTCGACTTATCCGAGTTCGACTTAAGTGGACTTAACTGTAGTCTGGTTTGCCGACTCTAGAACACGCAACATATAATAGTGTTATTATATTATCAACATATTTGTCAACATACATGCATCAGTCCTCATACAAAAATCTATCTTCATTCATTTACTTATCGTTCACCAATCTTCCTATATCTGTCTTCATCCATCACTTATCGTTCACCAATCTTCCTATATCTATCTTCATTCATATACTTATCGTTCACCAATCTTCCTATATCTGTCTTCATTCATATACTTATCGTTCACCAATCTTCCTATATCTGTCTTCATCCATCACTTATCGTTCACCAATCTTCCTATATCTGTCTTCATCCATCACTTATCGTTCACTAATCTTCCTATATCTGTCTTCATCCATCACTTATTTCATGTGTTGGCAGTCACGTCTATCCACAACCTTCTGTCTCATGTATTTTCATCACATTCTGACACAGATGATCTTCTGTGCCATGATGTCAAACTGTACAGTACCTTCTCTTTCACTCTCCCCCTGCCTGTTTGAGTCTCTAACGTTTCCCACCGACAGAATGTACTCAACTGTTCTCCTTTTCATGACATGACAAAAAAAAAAAAAAAGGTAGATTTCATCATATCTAGACCCAAACATATCTATACCCAAACATGTCTAGACCCAAACATATCTTGACCCAAACATATCTAGACCCAAACATGTCTAGACCCAAACATGTCTAGACCCAAACATGTGTAGACCCAAACATATCTAGACCCAAACATATCTTGACCCAAACATATCTAGACCCAAACATGTCTAGACCCAAACATGTCTAGACCCAAACATGTCTAGACCCAAACATGTCTAGACCCAAACATATCTAGACCCAAACATATCTAGAAACACAAAGCTATACATTAGTACCTCGGAATCCGAACGAAATTTCAAGTAAAATTAGCATCAGAACTCGAACGCCACCTTAGAAACCGAACGGCTGGCACATACTGATCACGTGACTGAAAAAAAGTTATATCACCTAGCGGGGAATCGAACGCGGGTCACTCACATGATAGGCGGAATAGTTATAACTACGCTACAAAACACTCAAGCAGAAAGTGGAAATGAAATTAAATAGTAATGCAAAGTTCAATAAGAGCTCAGCAGTCAAAAATGGCCAATCAACTAAAAACAAATCCGAGCCGGCAACGAAACAAATAATGATTTGACCGTTGCTGGAGCTACGTCGTTCGTGGTTTGTGCGATTTTCTGACAAAAGGTCACGCTTTGAGTCAAAGGCAACGTTGTGTGAAAATTTTAAAGTAATCGGTTCAGTAGTTTCCGAGTTTTTAGTTAACAAACTCGGAAATTAACATTTTTATTAATATAGATTTTATTGATGTTCTCAATAACAGGAAACTCGTGCAATCCTCCAGTCAATGAATACAAGAGAAAGCCAGGTGGAGAAGGAGAGGGAACGACAGCAGGACATGTTAGAGAGGATGAAGCGGCAGAAGCGATACCTGGCAGAAGACAGAACTCAGCAAGCGCTCAAACTGTTGGAGAAGGCACTCGAGATGGACAGAGCGTTAGTTCCTCTTCTCACCTCTGCTTTTTTCTAATGTTTATTTGTAACTGACCAGTCTACATGCCTACATGTCTTCTTCATGCGCCCTTTATCCACAAAAGGAGCAAAGTCCCTCACAAATATCTAACTACCCAAGCCCCTCCCCCCCCCCCTCCACATATCTACCAATCTAACTACAAATCTACTAACCTCTGTATCTGCCTACCCACATACCACCTGTGTATCTACCTGCGTACCTTCGATTCGATTGTCACCTTTCCGTCTTTCCAGACGACAGTGTTATATTACGCTATGAGAAGGCATGGGACTCACAGCCCATGGCGATGGCGAGTATGACTAGCAAGACCCGCCAGCGTTCAGAAAAGTCTTCCACAATTATAGCATAGGATTTCAGGATCGTTGTTGTGAATATGTGTGTTTGGTCTATTTCTTTTCCGACGCTCAGCTCTCATCCTTCCCGCAATCATTTTTCCCTGTACTCTCATTCCCTTCCTGATGTGACCCCCTCCACACAAAACGGTCCATGACATTTTGTTCCCACTAGTCTACCTCACTACCTGTATCATTCATGCCCCGCTTGCACACGTCTTTATATCGCAGTATATGTCGGTCTTGGCATCTTCTACCTGCATTTAATTCACCATAAAGGTTGTCCTTAGGGACTCTGCCATCCTCCATTCTTCAGGTGTGACCCAGTCACCTGAGCCTTCGTAGACTGAGCATTGGGAAGACTGTTTTAGTACCTGCTCTTTCCAGTACCTACGATTCTACCAAAAAGTCTACCTATAAACACTAACTACTCACCTTACTATTCATTGTTTGTACGAGATTTAGCTACATTCATTCATATCTATCTATCTACCGGCTGATCAACTTTTCGACCAATCCACCTAACAAATATACTCTACCTACTTAATTAGTTTATCAATATATCTGCTTACCCACGTGAGAGGCGAGAAACAAACAGTCTGCATGTAATAAACCAGATCTGTTGAACAGATGTGCACACATTACTCAAGTTCTGGAAGAAAACCGAAGTCCAGAAGTGCACAGGCAACCGTATATTTATACATATATACTGGGCTCTGATAAAGAAGACCTGGGTTTCAATCCTTAACAAAGTGATGTGGTTGTTTATGTTGTGAGCCTGCACAATTCACGGTGATTGCACTAGCGATACGGCCCTTAAACCTCAGGCTAGACAGCAACACGACTACCCTCCACCACACCGCCATATAAAAAGTGTCATAACAGGGGCAGTGAAAGATTTGAAGACAAAATTCAGGCTTTTGCAAAATGATAGCAGGAACTGCACATAAACTACAGACTTTTCAGAACAAATGTTTGTGAAGAATTCTGCAAATATTTTGGCCAAACAAGAGCCCTAATAAAGATCTAAGAAGGAAACCAAACTAGTAATCACTGATAAAGGTTATCAAAGAAAGAAGACAGAGATGCCTTAGGCATGCTTGCACAATGTATCGTGACACTTTGGCAAGGACAGCTTTCCTATGGACAGTAAAAGTAAAAAAGTAAAGGACCCTTTCCACGCCTTTAGGCGTATAGGGCATATAGGGCTAGACCTATTTTTTTATAGACCAACGGCACAAGATGGGTGATGTGGTCAGCATCACGCCGGCCGCCTCTACTTCCCGGGATTGCACCCGATACCCACTTAAGGCTGGGTCGACCTGGGAGCCAAGGTCATTTTTGAAGAAAAGTCCGTCTCCGCCAGGGAGCGAACCCACGACCTTCCGATCCGCGGCGCGCGTCTAGCCGCTCTGCCACGGCGACTCCCCCTATGGACAGCAGATGAAGAAAAAAAAAAAAGCCGTGGACAACCTTAGGAAACCCGGAGACGAGAAACAGAAAGGGAGATGGTGTAAAATTACATGGGTTAAGATCGGCAAAACAGTAGCTAAATGGCATTAATAGAGATAACCAATGAATGGCTTATGTTATCAGCATCATAATTTCGACCTTCTGTTTGAATAAAACGAATTGCACCACGGTTTACCTCGTGCTCTACGCCCTTCTCCTCTTTTATTTTAAGCTTTTTATGGAATGGCGTCACAAGGCATTCTCTCTAAGTAGGCAAACCATTTGATTTACAGCCGTCTGTAATATAGAATGGGTTATGAATCGGCTTTTTCTGTTATGACCTCATCAGTTTCTCTATAAAAAATATACGTCTAACACTATATGTCCGTCTGTGGCTTAGGCAATAGGAACGCGCTTTTTAATGGCAAGGTTGGGGTTTGATCCCAGCTGCGGACGGTTTGTCTTGCGTTAGTTTCGACAGTGGTACCTACAGCCGACCGCCCAGAAAGCAATGGCACACTACTCGACATAAATTTACCTAGAAAAACTAGAACAGCACAAAAATGCTGGAGTTGGCTCTGCAACGTCATGTAAAAGATACACAACAAACTTACTCTAAGTCCAATGCGTCATAAGGCATATCCATGACTGACTTTCAACCCCACCAGGATATCACACAAGCAATAAACACCCGATGACACAATGTGCCACATTGTGGATGAGGATCACCGTGGAGAGGTCCCAGAAACCGCGTTCAGCTACTAGGCCATATTTATGGCCGGGCTATATTGCGTCCCCTGGCATGAGCCAGAGTAGGGCTTCAAATAACGAACAATTTCATCATGAACAGGACGAGAAATAGATAGGCACATCCCTAGGTGGGCAAACCATTTGATTTACAGCCGTTTGAAATTTAGAATGGGTTATGAATCGGCTTTTTCTGTTATGACCTCATTAGTTCCTCTATAAAAAAAATATAAGACTTACATTGTGCCCGATATTCCCAAAGTATGAAAAAGGTAGTAATACTTTTCTTTATCTTGTACAGAATGGCCCAGGATAAGGAGAAGCAAGGGCTACTACTGCGGAACAAACTGGACGAGATGAAACGGAGACGTGGCCCCAAACAAGACGCTGAGTTTGTGGAGATTATAGAGCTACAAGAAAAATAGCCTTCCTTGTTTCGTAGACAGTTGTCCTGCGAAGTGCTAGAATGCCTTAGCTTAGACGTACATGGTGTGTGTTCGAATCCATCTGCTGACAATGATGGTTTGCGCTAGGGTTGCTGAAAGAAACACAAGAAAACATTTATCTAGAAGTTTTCTATATTTCTAGTTTTTGTACTGCTGACTGTTTTTTGAACTGTTTGAACTAAGGTATAGCTACATCTGCGGATTAACGCAGACTTTCACCTTTGTGAAGGAGTTGGTTTAGCGAATTATTCATGGAATAGAATTAGTATAATTTCTCTGTTTGTTTACTCTTCTTTGTCTCTGACTAGATCTTCGTGACAGTCAGGCAACATTTTATATGTCAACATGATCATT